GGATACAGGAATTTCCAGTTGTGCCAAAGCTGCACTGGCACCTGCTGCCCAGCTCCGGCCTCACCCCCAGGCCTGGGCAGCACCAGAGGGACTTCACGGGATGAGGAGTCAGAGCTGCAAAGCCCAACCTTCCTGTCTGGCCTGTCGGAGCATTCCCAGGCATGACTGGAGGCTGGGTAAACAAAACTTTTATGTTTTAATGGGCCTTGGGAACGTGGGGAGATGAAATAGGGATGGGATTAACTGCTCTGAGCAGGCACTTCCATTCACATCCCTGGCGCTCCAGGCCCAGACTCAGAGCAGATAAGGAAGGGAGAATTCTGATGTGACAAAAGGGATTGATGCTAGGAAGGCAAATATAATTTTAAAAGCAGCAATAATTACAGAACAATAAATAACAAATAAATAACAAATAACCCTATATAATAAATAACAAATAGTTCTATATAGTATACATATACACAAGAAATTAAGAAATAACATGCAATCATAGATAAAATATGTATTTCCATATATATTTTATATAATATTATATATTCTCTTATATATTATTTTATTATATTATATAATGTATTATATTAATATATGATATTACTATATTATAGTAATGCATTATGTTAATGTATTATATTATATTGTATTATATTATCATATTATCATATTATCATAATATCATATTATATATTCTATTATATTATATTCTATCATATATTATATTATATTATATTATATTATATATTATTATGTATCTATTATATATAATATATTTTGTATTATAATTTTTATCACCGGTAGCAATGAGGCCCTGAATGCAAACAGCCTCTACAACAAACACACATGCCTAAAACCCGCGCAGAACACCCCGAAAACGATTGAAACCCATCTGGGCACCTCCAGCAAAGCACCGCTATCCCGTTATCCACATTTTTTCCGTGCCAGCGGGAAGATGGAGGAGCTCCCGGACCACAGCACCAGCAGGATCCGCATCCCCGGGCACCGCCTGCGCGCCCGCCCATCCTCCGCACCCCGCGGGATGCAGCGGCCCGGCCCCTGGGGACAGGGACAGGGACAGGGGCAGGGACAGGGACAGGGACAGGGACAGGGACAGGGACAGGGACAGGGACGGGACAGGGACAGGGACAGGGACAGGAGCCTTCCCCAGCACCCACCTGCCGGGCCGCGCTGCCGGAGCCGCCCCGGATCACGGAGCGAGCGGCGGCCGAGGGGCGCCTGGCGGCCGGGAGGAGGGACGGCAGCGATGGGATGAGGAGGAGGAGGAGGAGGGATGGGAGGAGGGGATAGGGGCGGCAGGATGGCAGGAAAGGCGGCCCGCGGCCCCGCAGAGCATCCCTGGGAAAGTGAACATCCCTGGGTGGGGGCACATCCCTGGGAAGGAGCAGATCCTTGGGAAGGGGCAGATTCCTAGGAAAGTGCACATTCCTGGGAAGGAGCAGATGCCTGGGAAGGAGCAGATCCCGGGAAGAAGTGCATCCCTGGGAAGGAGCACATCCTTGATATCCCTGGGAAGGAGCACATCCTTGGGAAGGAGCACATCCTTGGGAAGGAGCACATCCCTGGGAAGGAGCACATCATTGATATCCCTGGGAAGGAGCACATCCTTGGGAAGGAGCACATCCCTGGGAAGCAGCAGATCCCTGGGAAGAAGCACATCACTGGGTAGGAGCACATCACTGGGTAGGAGCAGATGCCTGGGAAGGAACAGATCCCTGGGAAGGAGCAGATCCCTGTGAAGCCGTGCATCCCTGTGATGCCGCACATCCCTGGGTAGGAGCACATCCCTGCCCTCCCTGCAGGAAGCACCAGGATCATGAGCCCAGCTCCTGTTCCTCCACCCCACCAACCCCACCCTGTGCCTCGGAGCAGTGTCCCAAAGCTCCTGGGGCTCTTGGATCCGTGCCCATTCCCTGGGGAGCCTGGGCAGTGCCCAGCACCCTCTTTTCCTGATATCCAACCTAAATCTCCGCTGGCACAGCTCCAGCCTGTCCCTGATCACAGAGTAAGGAAGCTGCAGACCCCAAATTGCCTCCTGCAGGTGAAACCAGCCAAATGCCCTCATCCTCTCCTCCTGTGGCCCCTCCAAACCCTTCACCCATTCAGCCCAGCTGCCACACCAGGTCGTGTCCCCACGGGCACACCTAGAGGAGCACCACGGTAGCCCGGGGACACAGAAACCAGTCCCACATCCACCCTGCCCGCTGTAATCACCCCGTGTGTGCCACAGAGATACAGGCACAAAGCACACCCGGCGTTTTACAGGCACAAAGCACACCCAGCTCTCCTCACACCTGTGAGCAGAACTTCTGCAGAGCTCCAGAGCCGTGTCAGGGCAGGCATCTGCATTCACATCCTTAATGCTCCAAGTCCAGACTCAGAGCAGATAAGGGAGAATCCTGATGTGAGAAAAGGGATTGACCAGCTGGAGGAGGCTGGTGGAAAGAGGAAGGAGTTGTAACAATACCAAGGTCATTTCCACACCTACTCATGAAAAAGATGTGTTTCCATACCCTGGGATTTTTGGGATCCAGAGGAAGCAGGGGATTTTTGGAATGAGATGATCTTTAAGGTCCCTTCCAACCCAAACCACCCTGAGATTCTATGAGCAGCCAGGAAATAAACCAGAGATGTTCAGAGAGGAGCACTCAGAGCAGCAGCAGTCCAGGGTGACATCCCCCGAGGGGTTTTGTCACCTGGAATGGAGCAGTGCAGCTGCAGAGGGCTGGGAGAGCTCACCCCCTGCCTGCACATCCCCTCCATCCCCTGCTTATGCAGCAGTTACCAAGCCCAGCAGTTTCTTCTCACTGCAGTCATTATTGCTGCCCATTCTCTCTGCTCCCTTCCACATCCCAAATTCAGGGTTTAAGCAGGACACCTAAATCAGCTACAGAAGTTCCTCCACCTTTCATGAGTTACAGCCAAAACAACCTCTCACACCCAAAAACGTGGTGTTGGTTTTTTCCTTCATCCCGTCAAGTTTTACCTTTTGAAATGCAGACGGTGGGAGTGGTTGACCTGCCTCTTACAGCACTCATAATTAGTGCTTTCAGCTGGGTGTCCAACAAGATACAGATCTTACTTTTCCAGTTCAGGCCAGGTACAGGTTCCTACTGCTACAAAATGCTCATCCTCCTGCTACTTCAGCACATGCTCGTGAGCATTAATGGTGCATTTGCCTCTCTGACAAATCTGAGTTCTCATCTTCCTCCCTCCACCTCTGCTGGCCCTCCAGTAGCCTCAGTAACACCTGAGAGGGAGCTGCTTTAATATTTAGCTTAGGACAAAGAAAAGCATGGGCAGACAGGAGATTATAGGGCTGATGTTTTCACATTAGGAGCATGGTTAGGTGGAATATTAGGGAAAAAAAATTCTTGGATGTGAGGGTGATGAGGAGCTGGGATGGAATTCCCAGAGAAGCTGTGCCTGCCCTGGAAGCATCCAAGGCCAGGTTGGATGGGGCTTGGAGCAACCTGGGATAGAAGCAGGGGATTTTTTGGGATAAGATGAGATGATCTTTAAGGTCCCTTACAACCCAAACCACTCTGGGATTCTATGAGCAGCCAAGAAGAAAAACAGAGATGTTCACAGAGGAATACCCAGAGTCCTAACAAGGCACAGATCATTTCATGCTGGAGGTTGGACACAGAAGTTGTGGATTGTTGGGTTTTTTTGTTGTTTCTAGCACAAACTTTGCACAGTGAGGTGCAAGGCAGTGAGTGAAATCACCTCCCTGTGGATTGTACCAGAAGTGAGGTGCAGCTTTATAGACCAATTTTCCTGTTTGCTTTGTGCACAGTCAGCCATTTCAATGGGCTGCGTTGCACTGGCTCGTTTGGCCTGCAGATGATCACAGTTCAGCAAAACAGCTCGGGGCAGGAACCTCTGCAGACAGTTGTTTGCACACTGCTGCCTCATCGAGTACAGCCACAGCCTCCCCCTGCTCTCCTGGAGCTGTTCTAACCAGAGCTCACAGCACTGAAAAGCATCACAGAATGTATTTATTACCATACCCACACTGGGAAACTCCTTGTCCACAATTAAACTGGGAATAAACAAGAGCTGGAAACCTGGGAGTTCAGTAGGCCGTTACTAAAATTCATCTTTTGTGGCTGTAAAAGACCTCAGGGATATCTGATAGATTTAAAGCAGGCACCTCCATGAAAAATCACATTCTCTGAAATAGGAAATACAGTGGGCTAGTGGAGCTGGGTGATTTTCTATCATCACATTAGAGGGTTCAGCACTAAAATTATCCTTGGGTGTGATTTGGCAGATGAGAACCTGAGGGCACTTATTTTACACCAGACCTCCCCAGGCAGCTCTGGTTGCACAAGCAGTCTGGCTGCCCTGGGATACTCTCCCAGTGCTGTCCCTCAGCTGAAGGAAGAGGTTTTTCTCATTGGAAGCCAATCCAGACTCTCCTCAACTCCAGACAGCAGAGCCCTGGCCCAGCAGGAGCAGAAACAACCAGAACCAGCCACTCAGTGGTGAATTAGGACATCTTATAAACCCCAAGATGTTCTCATACTTTTGATTGCTTCTCCAAAAAAACCACAGACAAATTACCCTGCAACCCTTCAGAACTGGGCATTGCCTCAGTGAAACCAGAGAGGCAGAGAAAAAACAAAATATGGAGGAGGCCATGGCCTGAATTAAATTATTCTTGTGTCCAGCAAGAGCAAACCCCTCAGTTTGGGGGCTCCCAAGCTCTCTGCAGCACTGATTCATTGGCAAAGCAGGTTGTGGGTGCATTGCTCACAGAGCTGAGCCTCACAGCTCCAGCCTGACCTCCAGGGCTCCTGGCTCAGCCTGGGCTCATTTCCTCACCTTCCTGACCTCACCTTTCCTCATTTCCTCTCTGCTTCCTGAGCTGCACAAAGGGAATGCACCAGTGACTTTGGCATCCTCAGCCTTCCCTCAAGCCCTCAGCCCTCACTCCTGCTGCCTCCTCCAGACCCAGAACAAAAGAACATCACAGCCATCGGTTCTTTTTCAAAAGAGAACATGTTTTTATTAGAAGTCCCGTGACTCGGAGGAGTTTTTGGAAGAACTCAGAGAGCCTGGCAGGTGCCCACACCTCTGGAGGCCACTCTGGCTCCTGCTTTCCCAAAAATATTGGCCCAGGAACTTGCCCGGGTTCACAGCTGCAATGCCTTCAGTGGATGTCTCCAAAGTGAGGTTATTTCAGGTTATTTTTTAATCTCTCCAGACACCTTGAGGAGCCCCAGCCAAAGGCTGATATCTGCCCTGAACAGGGCCAAATTCAGTGAGATAAAGGCAGTGGAGGAGCTGCATCCCCACTGCTCCCCTCCCTCACCTCTGCATTTGCTTCTCAGCTCTCAGAGAGGCTTTTGGAGGACACTAAATCTGAACTGTGGCCTTGAACAGAGGGAAATTCACATTAAAACCCCAGGGAAAATGTCAGAACACGATTCTGAGAGGTAAAGAAAACGAGAGAACTGTTCCATGCTCTGAGGCCTGCTGGTGTGGATCTGCCTAAACTTTCCTGTCACCCCTGGAAATAATCATATTTTTGACTCATTAGCCATAAATTCAGCTGAAGTGGCTTGCAAATGAGCCAGCCCCAGAACAGAAAGAGCATCCAGGGGGGCTCTTCACTATCCCCCCTCTCCCACAAAAAGCCTGATTATTCTTAAGCAATCCCAGCCTAGGCCAACACCTGCTCATGGAGTTTATAAGAACAAGTCTAATTCCTGACTCTTGTTTGTGAGGCCCTGAGTCAGTCCCAGAGAAATCACTCTGCTCTGAGATCAGCACCTGCCCCGATGGAAGTGTTAAAAAAGGAGTAAAGGAAATGTGTCATTAAAAACAAGGAGGTAAAACACGGCCTCACCTGGAGTACCATCACTTCACACTCAAAGGACAACCCCACTACACCCCTGCAAGCACTTCAGTCTTGTTCAGAGTCTTTCACTCGAGTATTTAGCCAAGCACATTGTCCAAATCCAGGATTATTAAGGAGGGCGAGGCTCAGGAAATCTTTGCCAGGTCACGCCCCTTACCCAGTCCCACTGGCAGGAAAATGGGGTTTTTCATATTTGATTTTCTCTACGCTGTCAAATAAGTCTGCATTGAAAATGAGGACAGAACACACAAACTGTGCAATTATTAGTTGTAGATTGATCATGTCTGGCACTGCCACCCTCCTTGGGACTGTGCCATTGCTGGAGAACTCAGGGAATCAGTGCCAGGCTCCTCAGTTTCCACTCAAATCCCTCTTCGCACAGCTTTTCCGTGTTCCTAGCACCGATCCATCTCCTCCAGGGGCAGCAGAAAGTCAATTTTGTGTCATTTTAGGAGTTGTTCCTTTTCACAGGAACAAGCTCCAGCAGCCAGGCCCCAAACCCAGGGGATCATCCTCTACAACCCATTAACGAGCAGCCAAGAAATTTCCACAGGTACACTCCTACTCCTGAAGAGATTGTGCATCCGGGGCAGGGGCTTTTTTCCACATTTTCCTCCTTACAAAGCGACAGATTTCAACCATGAACCCCAAGGACACCACGTACATGGCCAGGCCCCCAGCCTTGAGGAGCCAGTTGGGTTTGGGAGACGTCACCATGCCATACATGATCCACGCTCCCGCCCCAATCCTCAGCACCAGGAAGAGGAGCACGAAGAGGAAATCCACCGCTTTTCCCAGGAAAGTGTGGTAGGAGCCCATCTCCCGCAGGAACCAGCGGGTCTGGAGCAGGGGGTTGGTGATTTCACTGACAAACAGCACGGCGTTCACCTCGGTGGCGGATTTGCCCAGCCCCAGCACCAGGATCATGCCGCAGATGCTCAGGGTGTGGTGGAGCAGCATCAGGTCCCCCTCGCTCTGGAAGTACAGGCACCAGCCCAGGTCAAAGATGAAGTAGCCCAAGGTCAGGGACAGCACGTGGATCTGGAGAGGGGTGTTTGGTGAACCTGGAATGGAAGATGTGCATAAGCCTGGGGTTTTATTTAAGATTTTTTCTACTTTACATATCAGTACAAGTTGATCTGGAGAGGGGTGTTTGGTGAACCTGGAATGGAAGATGTGCATAAGTCTGGGGTTTTATTTATGATTTTTTTTCTGTTTTACAGATCAGTACAGGTTGGTTGTGCTTCTCTCCTCCTAAATTTCCAGCCTCATCCAAGTGCCAGGAATTAGGGATATTTGGTTCTGCTTCCACTTCACACCCCAGCCTATCCTGTTCCCCTGCTGCTTCCCTTCTCCTTCCAGCCTTTTAGGAAAGCCAGACCTCCATCAGCAGATTATCAGAGGTTTAACAATAGAGACCAGCCAGCAAAACCTTGCAGCTGAATTTCAGGAGTTATTACACCCTTCAAGATGCAAAAGCACTTTGTTCTCCACACCTTGCTACACCTGATGCTGCAATAAACTCAAAGTGCCAACCTGGAAACTTCCAATTTGTACATGGACAAGACAAAAAAAAAAAAATTAAAATAACAAAAGGATGAACAGTGAGAAGTGGTGGAAAAAGAAGCAGCAGAATTAAACAAAATTTGACCCTAAACACACAGCTGTACGAGGAGAGGAAACCAGCCCCCAGCTCCACCTGTGACAGATGCACAGGTGAGCACAGGTGAGATTCCAAACATACCTGCGTGGGTCAGAGGCCAGGGGCCATCCAGGAACATGACATAGCCAGACAGGCAGGTGACAACGAGCCCGTGCAGGAGGGTGACCAGGCGACAGCTCCACTTGTAGGAACGCTGCCTGTTCCAGCGGCAGAAGCAGCTGTAGAGGCACAGCCAGGTGACAAAGCTGCAGGTCACCTCCAGGACGATGGGAACCATCCTGCTGGACACGGAGGGACAGCGTGAGGAGGGCAGCAACCCCTCAGAAAGTCACTCCAACCTTCCTCCATATCCACCCAGCACATCCGTGGAAACCCCGGACAGGGTGGGAAAAAAACCCACAAAAACTGAAACGAGCAGAACAAACCCCCTCCCCCTGCCGCGAGCACCTCCCGAGCGCCCTTAGCACCGTTTCCAAATTTCCCGAACGGGAAAAGCACAACGCCAACCCTCCCGCTCCAAATTTCCCGAACGGGAAATCCAGAATTCCAACCCTCCCACTGCCAAAGCACCTCTGCCCTCGGGCACCGGGGCCGACCAGACCCCGACCCCCTCCCGGCACGGGGGTGGGGGTACCCGAGAGCCCCAAATCCGGAGTGGGGAGTACCCGGGACCCCCAAAAATCCTCACCCCGCTCCGGCTCTGCGCGCCCGGGACCTGCGCCCGGCTGGGGCTGCCCGGCCGGGGAGGCGGTGCCGGCGCTCCCGGAGCCTTTTATCGTCCCTGCCCTGCCTGCCCAGCCCTTCCCAGCCCTGCCCAGCCCGGCACGGCACGGCACGGCCCGGCCCCGCCGCATCCCCCGAGGATGCTCCGCGGCATCCCCGCCCGCCCGGCCCCGCTGTGCCTGCCCCGGGGCGGACGGGGATGCTCGGAGCGGAGCTGCGGGCCCCGGGGCAGGGCCAGGCCGGGCAGGGAAGGGGGAACGGGGCGGGGGAAGCGGGAACAGGCGCTCGGTACCTCCGCCCAGCCTCGGCTCGCCCGGCTGGAGCCGTCCCGGAGGACGCCCAGACTTTATTTTGGCTGGGAGTTTTCCTCCCTGGTGATGGAGAGTAAAGCTGGATCAGGCTGGGTGGGAGGTGCTGGTGTTCTTTACCTTCTTTTCTTCCTTTTTAAAAAAAATTTTCTATTGTTTTGCTGAGTATCCTGGAGTCCTTCCAATCTGTCTCCCAGCTGGGGATGCAGGGAGCCTTGGTGCGGATTGCAGGGAGGGGAGGCTGAGGCGGGACTCGGAGGGATCGGGACGGGCTGGGAGTGGTGCCGGACACTCGGAGCTCAGGGAGATGTGCCACAGAACGCGCAGAACAGGATGAGTGAGCCAGCAGCTGAGCTGGGGCCAAGTTCATGGCTAGGAGTGAGTAACCGGGACAGGGCTGTGCTTCTTCCAAGCCCTGCCAGCCAGCTTGGTGTCAGCACTGTGTCATCCCTGACTCAGTTTGCTTTAAAATCTGACACTGTGTCCCCCCAAACAACCCAAATTTTCCCTGCAGCCAGAGCTCTGCACTGGGAATGAAACAATTGAGAGCACAAGAGCCCTTCCCAGTGAGATCTGCCATGTGAGATCCACTCCACAGGATGCTCCTGTGAGTTATACACTCAAATATCCTTTTAATTGGATCCTAGATTATAGGCTGCTCTTATATTTCAGCTAAAACTTGCTGATTTTTGTCTCCTTTTCTACCATTTTGAAGCGGGAGCCCCAGGACAGAGAAAGGGGGTCCCACTGCAGTTTGAGCATCTGTAAAGCTGAGCCTGAATTTAAGCTAAAATCTTTTATTGGACTGTTAGGATCCATTCCAATTCTATCAGAGGTGGAAATCCCAAAGCTGTGAGCATCAGGAATGATGAAGGAACTTGGTGGCATTATTTGGGTGCTGAGAAATGCTCAAAATCTCCCTTCAGTCCACAGGGAAACCTGGGAAGGACAAGGAATATTCCCCCAGCTTGCACTCCCTCTCCTCCCAGGTGGAAATCAGAGGAGGAAAGAAATGAATGAACAATAAAAGAAATTAAATACCAACATCAATTCGTTTATTTTCCAGTTCTCCCCAACCTTGCTTGAACTTGGGCACTGCTAAATGTCCATTGATGAGGCAGCCCAGCTGCTGGTGTGCAGCTGGAATTGCCACAGCAGCTCTCCTTGGAGAGGGGCAGGCACAGGGGACAGTCCAGGCACAGCTCTGGGGACACCTCAGCTGCTCAGAGGTCACCGAGTTCCCACAGGGAGCAATTTGCTCCCTGCATTGTTCCTCAGTGGCTGTGGGAGGTGACTCCTGCTCCTGGAAAGCTGGAATTTCCTGCTGTGTTTATTTGAAATCCCTCAGATGTGAGGCTGGGAGCGTTCCTGGGTGGCAGGGGAGCGAAGCTCTTCCCCTTCCAGCTGGAGCTTTTTGTGGAGCAAACAAACTGCTGGTGTTTGTTTTCCCACTCAGGGCCAGTTTATCAATAAATCCCAGGGAAATTGTCGTTGTGTTTATAAACTTTGTGGAGGAGATGAACCCTCAGGATGTTTTTGCACAACGCCTGGCACAGCTTGGCCTTGATCTCAGCGGAAATATTCACGTGCAGGTGCTGGTATTCAGCTTTTAATACACTGGTGGTTTCCCTCCCAGTTTTCAGGAACATTATTCCAAAACTCATGCAGGTGGGAGCAAATTACTTGGAGGAATTCCTGAGAACCAAATGGAATGGGTTGGAATAGAAGCCACATTTGGATCTTAATGAATCTTCTCAAGGCTCTAAGAGCATATGGACGTACAGTAAATTGTAAATAAATTATTGAAAATAGCTGATTCAACTTTATTTTTGGTCCCTTTTGATCAAGGGGCTCCGAAACCTCTGCAAGCCTGGACCAAGTCACTCGACTCTGAAGGCAAAATACAAATTACAGCTCAGCTCCCAGGAGTTAATTCAGGAATTCCTGAGTAAAACGTGCAGGCTGATTGTAAACAATCAGTTCTCACTGTTGAAATTACTGCTGATAATCTATGAAATAATTTGAGATTTTCCCAGTGGAAACAAGCTGGAAACTACAGCTGTGCTGAGGTTTGGGTTAATAAATGTCCTCGGTGATGGGTGGCAGGAGAATCAGCTGTGATGTTCATCATTCCCTAAATTCTGCTGCTTGGCACAAACTGAGCACTGGGAGGAGGAAATTGGATTTTCATCACCATTGCCTATCAGGGATCAAGTCCTTTCTCCAAGGTCATGCAGGAAGTAAAGTAAGACAGAGTGGCCCAAAGGTTCAGATTGGTGTTTAAATTTGTCCTCATTTGCTATTCTTAAATATCCATATCAGCCAAAGTTAATTAAAAAGTAAAGGAGAAATAAGAGGGGAATTGCAACCATCATTTTCCTGGTGACAGGCTGTGAAAATTGACTTTTCCTTTGAAATCTCATGGAATTCCCAAGCAATTGCACACCCCAACCTCAAGCAATACTACATGAGCACAAAAACAGAGAACAGAAAATAAATTCCTTACAGCTCAAAGACCAGAGGTCATCTCAGTAATAGCTTGTAATTATTTGGTATCAGATAAAACCCAAAAAAAGAGGAAAAGTAATAAAAAAGAGAAGGTCAAGACTCATTTTCATCCCATTCATTTGTGTAAATCAACACAAATCACAATTTCCCCCAAGGTTTCCAGCAATAACAAGACCTGGACACAAGTTTTGCAAAAGACAATTTTTTTTTTGGTTGTTTGTTTGTTTTTTTTTTTTAAAGGAAAAAATAAGAAGGCTCTAAAATACTTAATTAAAAAAAAAAAGGAAGAAAAAAAAACCAAAAAGCACCTTTAGAAAGGGAGCAGGAGGCGCAAAGCAAGTGGAGGGGGAGCCTGGGGCAAACCAAAGCTCCTGCCCAGCCACGGGGCTGCGGTGAAATGAACTCAAACCTCGGCTCAGTTTGGGGGCTGTGCGTGACAGGGACAGCAGGAGGGACCCTCCTTCCTTTTGGGGACCTCTGGGACGGGATGGGGACAGAGAAAAGAGAGAAAGAGAGAGAGGAGAGTCCTGGCACAGGAGCCCTGCCCGAGAGGATGCGGAGCTGCAAGCGGAGGAGCCATGCGAGGACAGCCAAGGACAGTGCCACTGTGGGGGCTTGGGCAAGGGGACAGTGTCACTGTGGGGGCTGGGGAAGAGGGCAAATGTCACAGTGGGGGCTCGGGGGAGGGCTGGGCTGCAGTTTGAGTCCCTGCACAGCCCCGCTGCTGGGGGTTCCTGGCGCAGCCGGCGGCGGAAGGCACTGGAAGGCCCCGAGCGTCGTCGGTGGTGCACGGCCTGGAGGCAGAGCTGCTCTCGCCCTCGCTGCACACGAGGTCTCAGTGGAGGTAGGTGGGTTGGTTCCATCGGTACCAGGAGCTGCTGGCAGCAAGGAATGACAAAAAGCATCCTGATTTCGTGCTCAACCCGACCCGGGTCTGCGCGTCCTGCAGGTTGCTCAGAGGGAGAGTGCAGGAATCACATCCTGCCACTCCCGAGCATCCCAGAATATCCTGAGCTGGAAGGGACCCAGCAGGATCAGCAAATCCAACTTCTGTCCCTGCACGGGACATCCCAACAACCCCACCCTGTCCCTGAGAGGTCACACGTGAAGCTTCACACAGGAACGCTGAAATCCCTGTTCTTCCTGGAGATCCCAGGGTTTTCCCCCAGCCTCCAATGCCCTGGGTTGGTTTGGGGCTTTTTGTGGGTTTTTCTGCCTTACCCTGAAGAGTTGAAGCCAGAAGAGTTCATGGCAGCTTTGGAGTTGCTCTGGGCTGTGCCGGGGCTGCTGGCATGGAGGGCACTGCCAGGGGACGAGGGCCTGCTGGAGTTCCCTGGGGAGCACGAGGATGTCACTGCGTGGGACAGAGCACAGTGAGCCTGGCATCTCCTCCTCCTGCCCAGATCCCACCCCATCCCTGTGCCCACCCCGTGGCTCCTCTGATTCCCTGCCCCAGGAATGTCCCCTGTTCCTGGATCTGGGAATCTCATGTGTCCAGGGAGATCTGAGTCTAACCCACCTTTTTATTTGGTTCCTCTGATTCCCTGCCCTGGGGAAGGTGGGGGACCCCAGGAATGTCCCCTGTTCCTGGATCTGGGAATTTCTGGTCTCCAAGGAGATGTGAGTCCAACCCACCCTTTACCTGGCTCCTCTGTTTCCCTGCCCCTGCCCTGGGGAACATGGGGGGACTCCAGAAATGTCCCCTGTTCCTATATCTGGCATCTCAGGTCTCCAAGGAGATCTGACACTGACTCGTCCTTTATCTAGCTCTGATTCCCTGCCCTGGGGAAGGTGGAGGACCCCAGGAATGTCCCCTGTTCCTGGATCTGGAATCTCAGGTCTCCAAGGAGATCTGACACTGACCCATCCTTTATTTGGCTCTGATTCCCTGCCCCTGCCCTGGGGAACATGGGGGGACCCCAGGAATGTCTCCTGTTCCTATATCTGGGAATTTCTGGTCTCCACAGAGATCTGACTCTAACCCACCCTTTATTTGGCTCCCAGCTGTGCCTGGCTCCCAAACCTGAACACCCCAGCCCAGGATTTTGCTGGAAATGTTCCTTTTCCCAGTGCTTTCCATGTTTTTATCCCACCCACTTTCCCTGGCCAAAGCCAAGGGTCTGGTGAAGATTATCCTGCAGGTGTGACCCAGAACTGGAGGAGTCAGGGAAAGGAGGGCAGAGGAAGGAGGGAAGGGAGGGTCCCCAAGGCTCACCAGTCCCAGGCATGGTGCTGTGCACTGGATTGACGGAGAGGGGCCCCAAGGAGCCTGAGGTAGAGACCTGG